GTCTCATGCCGTGAAAACACTAAACAACTGTACAATTCACACAGACGATGGTACTGACGCATGCGCATTTCGAACATTTAGGACTCTATACCTTTCTCTCTCGCATAGATGTTGGCTTCACGTTCAGCGCCCTATTCCGCAATTCCGCTTCCAGTAGTATATGTCTAAAGCCTTGTGTCCACGATGCTAGAAATCGGTCCGAGATCTCGGATGAAGAAAGCATTGACCAATCGCAATGGTCATTTGATCAAATCGTTCAAATGTGATTTGTTAATTTTTTCTCTATCCGAGATCTTGGACCGATTTCTAGCATCGTGGACACAAGGCTTAAGGTATAGATCGAAGACATAGAGAATGGACAGAATGGACTGCGCGATCCGTGTGTCAAAATGGTCGATGAGGATGGGAGAGAAAGAGAGAGCGTGGCAGACGGCCATTTCTATCTCTTTCCATTCAATGGTGTAATGGGAGAGAGAATGAGAGGGAGATTGGCCGTCTCCCACGGTCCCTCTCTCTCATTTCGTCGACCACATTTGGAATATCCCCACTGCTGGTCACGTGGCCTCTCTTAGTTCCATATTTCCGGTACTACAGTCCTTGACAGCGCCAGGGGGCCTGTCGGCTCAGTCGGCTCAGTTAGCCAGTTAGCTGTCCCCCACTTCTACAAGAGAGGAGTTTGTACAATTCAGTGCAATTGTACCCCCTGCCTGTCCCTGGTGGTGTAGCTGTGTAGTGCGATGAATGCGTGCTGCGTGCATCGGTGTGCATGCGACGTTCGTTCACTCATCCGTCCGTTGTGATTTTAGTGATTTATCGCGGTGCGTCGTGCAAGATCGACGAGGTGGTGTCGCGAGGGGATCCGTGGGCGTTCGAGGTTCATGGGCGTGTGCCATCGACGTTCAGCCGTCAGTTCGTAAGGAAGGCGCCGATTTTTTTACCGCCCCGCCCCGCCCCGTCCGCTGCAACTCGATGCCCTCGGTACCCTCGTGCGGAGCGGTGTTTCCGTCCTGTTTGCAGACGTGGTAAATTTTACGATGTAAACGAGACAGCGGAGAGGCAAGAGAAAGTCCCTCGCGTTTCGTCCTATCCCTCTCCGTCCCTCCTGAGTCGAGAAGGGTGGATCGCCCAGGTGCCGAGGGTGAGAAGAGCGCGAGGAGAGATCCCCGTTCGGGAGTCTTGCCCTGACGGTGACACATCGACGTTTAGATTTGAGTGTACAGTTGACAGTCCGGGGACAACCAGCATGTCGGGCGCGCCGCAAATGTCCAGCGGGCTCAGCAAGCTAAAGAAGAAGCACTTCCGGGTGAAGCACCAGAAGGTTAAGCTGTTCCGCGCGAACGAGCCGCTGCTCAGTGTGTTTATGTGGGGTGTCAATCACACGGTAAGAGTGTAAGACAGCGCGCAATTCGCACCGCGTGCGCTTCAATGTCGCGTGTTGATGTTTTTCGCCGTTCACGACAAACGTCATCATCGTAATCGTCACTTTTCTATTTTCATTGCGCGTCCGCGTATTCTCCCGTCCGTCCGCGGATCTTTGCGACATCGTTCGTTAATGCCTGTTCTACAATAGGTTCCTAAGTCGTAAATCGTAAGAAATTGGCTAATCACAGTTGAATATGATAAAAATAATCAAGTACGATTTGTTAATTTTTTACGGTTTATGGTTTGAAACCCTATTGTAAAACAGACTTCACTGGAACAACGTAATATGCACCATAATAAGTGGGTATACGACGTCGAATCGCTCGATAACACTGTATAATTGTGTCAATTGCTTTTTAATTCCACATCACATACCTATACGTAGATGCTTGGCAAGATGCACGGCCAAGTGTTAAGCCCCCTTCAAACTTACTCTGGTATTTTTCGTTGCCTGATAATAAATCAGTTGAACTTGACCAATGAACCTTAATTAATTAATAATTAACGTTTCGTGAGATAAAGCTATAATTGTTATGTCTGCTGTATTACAGATAAACGAACTTAGTCACGTTAACATTCCAGTAATGCTCTTGCCAGATGATTTTAGAGCTTACAGCAAGTTGAAAGTGGATAATCATCTTTTCAACAAGTAAGTTTATCTTTTCTCTCTTTTCATATTGTGTGTATTTGTGTCATACAATTGCATGTAATATTGGCTGCGTTCAGCAGAGAAAGCAGCTTTGCAACTGTTGTAAAATTCTTCAATATAATTAGTCTTGCCCTTAGTTTCTCATTGAATCTAAATGTATAAACCAATCATATTCAAGAATTTTACAACAGTTGCAAAGCTGCTTTTTCTGCTGAACGCAGCTATTGATTCTTTCTCTCGGGTGATTTCTTCATGTTTCATCAAAAGTTTCTTCAAAAGTAATGGTTATTCTACAATGTGATTTTTATTTTCTGTTTCTTGCTTTCTGTGCTATATTTTTTTTACATCTTGTCCTTTTGCTTCTTATTCGGTTTTTTGTTTTATGTCGCCCAAGTTAAAAGTTAACGAACTTCGGAAGAAACAGGAAACACGTAGCAAGAAATACAATTGTCGATAAAATGATTGCAAAGGGGGAAGAAGCAAGAGGCAAAAAGCAAGAAATGGGAAACAAAGATCACATTGTAGAATAGGCTTAACACGACTAAAAAAATTAAATTTCCCAGATAAGAGAAAAAACTATTCTTTAACTTGACAGAAAATTACTAATTATTAGTCAAATAATATTAACCAAACGAATATACTCTTAATATGATCAGTCATATTTTTGCCATTTTTGTTTCACACTCTTGAAAAACGTTTTTTGAATTGTGTCAATTTTGATAATACTTTATGAAGTTAGTTTTACTTCCGATGATTGATAGGGTTTACTTAACTCATTCATGGTAACAACTCGAAAATCATTTTTTAAATAAGATGGCGATTTTATATCTTGGTCCACATATAATATATCCATACTAATTGTGAACGTACAAGTCCATACTGTTTCTAAATATATTCTAGCAACTCTATACGTACATAAGATAATCTTAGAAATGTATTTAGGCAATACATTGCCTATTCTTTACATGTATACATATGTAGACATATGTTAATAACTCTCAATGTATTCATGCATGTGTATGAAACACTCGGTACTGAGCCGATATACTGTTTTTAATTTTAGATTTGTTTATACTAATAGATAAAGCCACACAATAATACTTGTAATATTGCAGATACTTGCTTACGTAATCTGTTCTTTTTTTTTGTGCAGAGAAAATATGCCCTCCCACTTCAAAATCAAAGAATATTGTCCGTTAGTCTTTAGGAATTTGCGAGAAAGGTTTGGAATAGACGATTTGGATTACAAGGAGTCAATGACAAGGTAATGTCTTTATATTGATTATTCCCGCTAAATTTTGATGTATCCAATATAACACTGTACAATACACAACAAATGCACTGTTACTGTATAAAGTCGAAAACTCGCTTTCATGGTTGCACAATGATATTGTTCGTCGCAAGTGAATTAGGGATAGACAGGCTACTGAAATGGCTTTGTAATGTAAGAATTTTGATGTGGTAGATGTCGGGTGTTTAATCCTTCGCGAGCAAAGCAACAAACGGATTTGGTCGATGGAATAGGCAGAAGGACTCGTCAATTGGTTCAGCGCGCCGCTACCGTCCCGTCGATTACCTTTTCCTCTCCTTCTTCTGTCTCCTCGCACAATTCTATTCTAAACAAACCGTTGCGTACCTGCAGTCTTAAACCGAAACGCCTGAGGTTAGCGAAACTTGATTTTGCTATGCTGTGCGTTTTCGTTGTTTCTAACAAAGTTAAAGACCTACCAAGGAGCGAGAACCGACGTGACTAAGCATAATAATTCATTAATATACATATCTCAATGATTGCTTGATTTAAACATGTAATTTAAAACTCGGAATTAGCTACCATTGAAAGCTTTTCCGATTTAAAGCATGGTAAGAGGATGTTTTAGTCGAAATCATAAAAATATCGCTTGATGAGTTAACCAAGATATTAACAAATCGAGTGCTTTATATCAACGGTGATGATGAAAATAATGATAACAGTCATCATCCTATTGATTGATAATAATAGTGTGAAAAGGGAACATTAAGAAAATGAGAAATAAATATAATTGTCAATTAATATTCTCGCATTAACATAATTAATGATGACTCCAATATAGATCAAGTCGCTTTACATCAGCCAGATATTCGGCTTCAAAAACCCATCGATTATCTAATATACCGCTCTTGATAATGATTCATCATTTATATTTACCAAGATTATGCCTCATGCCAATGATCATTCGAATAGAACTATTGTTTGATCTTTTACAAATGCACATCCACATGTATACCCAAGATGCGGTTTACGCATTTCTTCTTCCAGATCTCAACCAGTGCTTGACGATTCATCTGGGAAGAGTGGTGCAAAATTTTATCAATCTTATGACAAACTGTTTATAATTAAAACCCTCACGAGCGAGGAAGTGGAGAGGATGCATTCGTTCTTGAAACATTATCATCCCGTAAGTATAATCGGAAGTAAATGTCATGAAGATTCAAGATTACACGGACATTGCATTGCAGTATATTGTCGAACGACATGGAAAGACACTATTACCGCAATACCTGGGAATGTACCGATTGACTGTTGACGGCGTCGAGTACTACGTAGTTGCCATAAGGAATGTATTCTCGAATCATCTGACGACACACAAGAAATTCGACCTGAAAGGCTCGACGGTAGACCGAGAAGCATCAGATAAAGAGAAGGAGAAGGATCTCCCTACCTACAAGGATAATGATTTCGTTAAAGAGGGTATGAAGATTTACATCGGAGAAGAAGCCAAAACTAAGCTAATAGAAACATTAACCGCTGACGTAGATGTAAGTATTTAATATAAGAACATAAACTTTGATCACACAAGATTTTGTACTATCATGAGAAATATTTTAAGAGTTACCTTGAATTATTTATCGAGATAAAAATTGAATCAAATTTCAATTCAAATTTGTGAAGGACTTCGAAGTACCCAAAATTATAATCTGTCTCCATAGTTCTTAACAAGATTACACTTGATGGATTATTCCTTGCTACTTGGCTTACATGATTGTGCGCGCGCCGAGCAAGAGAGCAGAGAACGTGCAGAAAGAGAGGATGATGAGGATAATCATGAAGAAGAGGACGACAGCGAGTCAGGCAGCGGATTGGAGTCTCGAGGTCCATTGGCAGAGTGAGTGGATATTTTTTCTACTCTCCTTTTGAAACGAAAACTAGTTCAGTTTCCATTTGATTTATTCATCGATGCCACTCATTTGTTTGCAGCCGCTTATGGGGTTGGAGTGGCGTCGGTCACACGGTTACCAATATGGCAACACCTCCCGAGTCACCGCATGCAGCGTTAATGCGTGATACCAGTTTACAGTACGAAGATGCGATAATACCTGAGCTAGACATTTACGCTATTCCTAGTAAAGAAGGTACTTTTTCCAGATAAACTGATAATCGTACATCAAAGTGAATATATACAGGGTGTCCCACAATTTGTGATCGAAATTTTAATATATATATATATATTTCTGATTTAAAAATAAGACAAAAATCCTAATACCAAAATGTCAAGACTATAATAGTTTTTAAATTCTAATTCGTCATACATATTATTTTTAATATCCTGTAATATTTTTATGTTATGTATATTGCATATGTAATTATTTTCCATGTTTAAACATGATTAGTGAAGTATTTCAACATTATTATATACGTTATTACTTCCAGTTTCACATGAGGTGAACATAGAACATCACATACGTACGAACATCCACTTGTATGATGTATCGTCCCTGAGCACGTGAAATGTCAGCTCTGTGATTAGTTAACTTTAACTGCTAATTAATTTGAAAACTATTATAGTTTCGACATTAATATTGGTATTAGAATTTTTGTCTTATTTTTAAGTCAGGAATGTTATTAAAATTTCGATCACGAATTATGGGACACTGTGCATGCAATGTGTGCATACATGGTGCGTGCGTGTGTGTGTGTGCACGTGTATATATAAAATTCTTACCACATATATTTTCGTAGGTGCTCCCACGAAGGAGATTTATTTTTTGGCCATAATAGACGTGCTGACGCATTATGGCGTACGTAAACAAGCAGCGAAAGCGGCAAAAACCGTCAAATACGGTGCTAACGTTGACGGTATATCCACCTGTGATCCAGAACAATACGGCAAACGATTCATAGAGTTCATGAGCAAAGCCATAGAGTAAAAAGTATTATTAATCGTTGTGCATAAAATAATGAATTTAAACGATATTATCGTCGTTTACTGTGTATTGTCGGAGTGAAATCGAAATCGCAAACCGAAAAAGAGGGAGGAAAACTGTTCTGGAGGTTAAATTGTTGCAGTCTCCGTTCGGTTTGCTTTTCGATACAGATTATTTTCTTTAGCGCTTTCACTTGTGGTTCATACACGATCGAATCGTTCGTTTCATGAGCTTTTAAGTGAACACGTTCTTCGCCGATATCGTTTATTATATGTATTTTACGGCAAGAGATTTTTATTCTCGATTATTACTTCATGTCTACGTTGCTTTGTTTAGTCAGTCTTCACGTGAAGAAGTGTGATCGGTTTCTCAAATTTGTTGCTTGAAATTTCTTTTTCTCCGTGATAGAACTTTCAATTGTACATAGTGTTATATTTGCACACTTGCAAACGCGAGAATTGTCAAATAGAAAAACGACGCCTCCTCTTTTTTTCTGTCGCCCATTCGTTTTATTGTGCATGTTTTTTTTCCGTCATTGAAAACGATAGTTTTCAACGATCTTATATCATTCGATGAATCGTCTGTGGCAGAAAATTAATAGCATTGGAATGTAACACCAATTGGGCACAGGCAATATTATCTGTGGATTGAGATAAAAAGCTCAAAGTCGCACAAAATCTTATCTACTGATATCAGTAGCCGTAATACCTGAAATTATATTAGCAGTTTTTTTTTATAGCGGATTAATAAACGGACATGAGTCATATTATATGCTACAGAAAGATATCTAACTTGATGTGTTACCATTGCAGTAAATCCCAATCAAGCATTGTGGCGCTTGCCAAGTATAGAGCTGCCTGGATATGCGCCTAATCATATTTTATCATATAAGATGTAATTTCAGTAGCGATGAAACTATTATACGACTGTCCGTTGTTTCGCTAAATTATGATAACAGTATATACTTCGCAGTACCGAAGGCAATGTACACACGCGCGCGCGCGCGCATATACACACACACACACACACACATGTATATATGCATATACAAGTCGTTGCAAAATAAAATACACTTTGTAAATGTTATATTTAGTCTGGTTCGATTGTCGCAGATCGATAGTTCAGTTATTTCACAAAATATATGGGGAATGACACGATCCATTGAACGGTATTATCTACACGAAACATATCTTTGATGTTCGTCACAACACTTGAGTTGGCAACTTACTATCGTGCCTTTCATTTCACTAAAGAATACTCTCAGAAAAAGATGCATTGTTCTTCCAAAGATAGGCACTTGCAGTCCTTACATATTATCGTTTGTCGAAAGGATTTCGCATGAATCGTAAGTTTCCGGTTCTATTCTGTATCGTAAATTTGTTTTATTTAATAAGGAAATATTTGACGAAAATTGAATGTAATCGTTGAGCAATTTGTACTGTATTATGAGAAAGGAGAATGTGCACTGCGTTACGTAAGACAATATCTTTAAATGATATCCAATACACTTTTATATACATATATATATGTATATATATGTATATATGAAATACATGTAGTATAATTTGTTAGAAAACCGATCATAATATAATGACTAATCACTTTAACGATTAATATATTCATCTAGTCTTGATATTTCTATAATTTTATATATTTTACAGTTTAATCGCGCGTGTCGAGACTACGGATGCGATAGATGAGAGGAGGTATCTACTGCTGTATCTTTGTTATAGGATTTTAGGTTTTGAAAATACAATTAGTTTCTGCGTGATTATCAATCGTTAAGATAGTATGGTTAAAAATTTGCTTCAACCAACGAATCTTCGTTGGAATCTTTTAAACACGGCAGTGTTCTGAATCGATACACAAATCGTTTGTGTAACTTTATTACATGTGTAAAATAACGTTGCATTCTTTTCTTTTTTTCTAGCTCAATTCACCATCTCGATCACGGATACAGAGTCTGTCTTCCAATTTATATATTACGATGTATGGATACTTCGGAATTAATTAGGCATTATTTTACAAGACACTTAAGAACAAGAGAAAAATAAATTATTACTACTTTTGACAATGGAATATTTAGTCTTTTACTTAAAAAAGACTATCGCCTGCGCGAATTCCAAAGTATCTATACGAAAAACAAGAAACTAAAATAGTACTCTCTCAAAGATATCTGTTAAATAAATAACAAGAAATAAATAAGAAAAGACTAACAACTCTGTAACTATCTTACAAAGCTATCTTACAATTATCTTAGGACTTACGAAGATTTTTTGGTAGTTTACACAAAATTTATGTATTTACCGAATTATTTTCCAATTTTCTGTCCATTACATTTTGCAACGGTTGGAGATATCTGTTTCAAGCATTCTATATCGTTAAATACAATCTGCGCCCCTCCTCCACAAGTCGGCAATACATCGGCCTGCAATGTGCAATGATACAACATTTTCTAAAGTAACGCTATAACAAACCTTACTTTATACAATTTGGTCTCAAGTTCACCATCTTCGTCTTGTTCCTGCGAAAGAAGGCAGTATCTGGAAGATCTGGCCATAAAATCTTTTGGATTTGTCAACTTTCGAATGGTTCGCTTATGAGGCTGTGTTCGTGGTTGTAAAATTGTACCGGTCGGAACTATCCTGGCAGGACGATGATTTATCCATTTATCAGCATTTTGCACTCGCTGGTATCGTGGGTTCACCACTGGGGTCTTATCCTGAATACATACGTAAAAAAAAATCAGCTAATATACATGTACGTACACCGATCGAAGAAACGTAGCATTGTCAAAGCATACAAATTAATGGCTCCTACTCAAATCTACGCGCGCAACCCTCTTTACCTTTTTATTAAAATTAATTTTAGTAATAATTGTATTGGTTGACGCAATCGTAGATGATGAAGAATCAATGGGCGTCATTGAGTTCGATTTCTCTATAATCTCGGTTTTTGAATCCGAAGGCATGGAAGATTCTGCAACTGTCATTGAAATTGTGTTTTTTGTGGTCTTTCTTTGGACACTATCAGAATCAGTTCTTATGTGCCAGGGTATCTGGTGGATCCGATCACGAGAGCTGGAAATCTGAGAATCCATAAATGCCATTGTGGAAGATTCTTCTTTGGATAACGATGGATTTGGTTCTTCTGTAGTTTTTTCATGGATATCATTATTGGAAATTGCACGAGAAAATAATGTCTGGCGCATTTGTCTACAAGGACTTCTGGAAGTTTGAAGATTAACTGGCATCATAAAGGAAAGTTCTTTCTTAGGTACTATCGAAGTTACTTTTTTTGTAGTCTCTATTCTCGAACTCAAAGCTATCGGTGGTATTAAGATGTCATTATCGCATGTATCCTCACGAGCTGAAGTTAATATTTGTCTCACCAATTTCAATTTGTCATCCTTCTTTTTAATACAGCTCTAAAAGCGATTCAGATTTTAATGTACGACTCATCAAAGGTTGTCTCAGAAAAGAGATATATTGAAAAAGAAAAATGATAACTGACACTGATTTGTAACTATAAACTCTAAAATACCGTCAGTTGCTCACGCTGTTCCTGCAATTTTATCTGCATTTCCTTGGTCATTTTATTAATCTCCGCTTGTATTATAATGTTGCACCTCTGTATTAATTTTTGCTTGTCTAATATATGTTGTTGGAGTTGCCTGTCTCTGTCCCTCAACTGTACAAAAATTGCATTAATGTATAAGAAGAAATCATAATGCACACATTATCGTTATATTGCAAAAATATGCTTACTTCTTGCTGTACGTTTCTCATAGCATCGCACGCATTATTCAATTTATATAACAAGCTATCAATGTGGTTTTGTAATTTACAGATACGGCCTTCTAATGTGAAGATCTGAAAAATTTGTTACGAAGATATTACTAAAAAGACATTAAGAATAATTGAAAAGCTTGAATTGTTGCAATTTTTATATCTTTTCACCATATTTGTATGATCTTTTTTTATAGTTTTTATAATTGTCTATGTTACTTTACAGCAGTCAGTTCTGTTTCTTATACTAAAAAAACGCAAAATGTTTAGTACGTTAACTCGAAACTTTTGACAAAAGAAAACCAAGCTAACCGGTTTTAACACCAAACTTTTCAATTGCGAAAATTGGTTAGTTCTATATATTAACACAAAATAGGATTAGGAAAGTCATAAAAACAACTCATTACCGTTACTGTTTTTTTTTTTCTGAAAGTAACTTGTTATCATTTCTTAAAAACTAATTAATGGGAGAGGGGGGATTATAATTTCTATATTACTTTTCCATTGCTATATTTTGATGGCCTTTTTAGTTTTTAGAATTGTCTATGTCACTTTACAACTGTTAGTTCACTGTTTCTTATATCAAAAAAACGTGCACGGAATGTTTACTCCGTTCAAAATTTTTAGCAAAGAAAAGTTAGTTAAGCAGATCGGTTTTTATACCAAGCCCTTCAATTATATCTGTTGTCGTCACAAAACTCACTATCTTTTTCTGTTCATTAGTGTCATGTCTTAAGCATGTGTTTTCATGTTCCAGTTTCACTAACATATTTCTGAAATGATTTTCTGAAAAAATTCAACTTTGAGAAATTACACAGTGGAAAGAAATTATACGAATAGTAACTGCATATTGAAAGATGCATTAAGAATCATTCATACGTTTCTCGCTCACATCCTCTTGCAATAGATCTCTCCTTTGAATACGCGTCTCTAGGAATCGCAATAGCTCTACGATCGCTTGCTCATCCTGTGGATCTGTCGCATCTGCTTTGGGAAATGAATCATCCTGGCTGCAACCCAAATAACGAACTCAACAGAAACAGATTTTGAGCAGCGTATGCTACTAATTCTGATAGCATATATAAAGGCAACATTTTCAAACAGAATTAATTAGGAACTTTTCAGCAGAAGCACAAATTGACACAAGAGTCATTTTATCTGTTTCTTCTTTCTCTCGATTATTGAACAAGGACAGGATGATTCTTGTGTCAATTTCTCTTGCTGAAAATCTCTTAACATCTGACAATAACAGCAAACTGGCAAATCAGAAATATGACAAAGCTTATCGACATGCCTTATCAGCAAATTGGCAGCAGAAATCAAGTAAAATTTACAGTTCCTGCTCGGATATAGGTTGCTATAAATCTACAGTGGAAAGGTCGAATTTGCTGCCAATCTGCCAACATATTGTTGACTTTATTATTATCTAGAAAACGAGACAATTGCGATATAGAAACGTAAAAATAAACGTTCACGTGAAAATCTTTTCAAGTTAACTAACGCAGCCATATTATTCTATGAGAAACACAAGAGTCGGCAATTGTAGTGTGAATTCTCAGCCAACAATCGTAAACACTTTGCAATTCGTCGAATCAAACAACAATGAAAATGAAAAAGCATGTTACATATCGTACGTTACACCATCAGACATTGTTGTGCGATAAAACATTTGAAATTTAGCGCACGTCGCGCCAATTAAACGCAACAGGTGCCAAGCGAGTGTGTATTATCGACGACCGGCACAGTTCGCCAATATTCAGACACCGACGAGTACATATATTTAAAACTTATAGCGATTTCGGCTAGGATGCACTAGTGTACACTGGTACATATAAAGACCGTTGTACAATGAATAGCGATTTCGGCTGGGATGCACTAGTGCACATAAAACTGTCATACACAATTGCCGTAAAAATGTATTAAAAACAGATTAAATCGTACAGTCCCCAATATATTTTATTGTACTGTTAATAAAACATGTATGTGGCAATGCCCGTTCCATTTATATATGTTCTAAGAGTAGTTCTCTTCTTTTCTGATAGTGAATTGATTGGTCGTTGCGGCAGACCGGGAAGTGGCCGAGAGCAATAAAGATAGACGTTCGAGAGTTGTGGCCTTAAGGGCTTCACACATGAAATGCATAACAGAGCATAAGCATAACATAAGACTGCTGGACCAATGAGCATCTAGCATAATGTCGCCATATTGATTTACATAAGATGCTCATTGGTTTAGCGGCTTTATGTTATGTTTATGCTCTGTTATGCGTTTCATGTGTGAAGCCCTTTACATTCAAGCTAATTGGTCCCTCACTGCTCACTGTGAAAGAGGGAAACAACTATGTCTGGAGTAAAGCTGTCCTTCAGTGTTGTCTTCAGCTCCTCTCGTATGAACGCTCCGTCTATCTTATAAGTTATGATTATTAAGGCTTAAACACAATAGACACTGGCAATAGGCACAGGCAACAGGAAATAACGAGCCGCCCAATCAGAGCTCTGGTGTGTATGTAAGTTCGATATCATATCCCAAAGCTCTAATTGGACGGCTCGTTATTCTTTGTTGCCTATTGCCTGTGCCTATTGTGTTTAAGCCTTTATGCATCACAGTCATTTACGAAAGTGATTGTATGTTCCCCTTTCATTATTTTGCACGTCAACTACTACGGACGTGGATTCGTCTTGGAGAACAGCACTGCAAGTGCACATTCCCACACACGTCGAGGCACTTGGCCATCATTTTATATGATTCTGCATCTAGCGAGCTTAAAAAAAATAATTATATGGGATTTCATCTTTTTATGGAACCTCGCGTATATATATATGTATATGTATCTATTTTAAACTCATCTCAAGGTTTATTTAGTTTAAACTCCGACGATTTTTAATTAAATCGTGTGTATAGTATGTGTATACAACCGTTTGTGCCTTTGTCGTATTCAATTTTTTCTTCTCGGCACTGCGGATTGCTTAATCCCGTAATGATCGTTTTCCGCAATCACGTCATAAAATATTGTTTGAGATATTCATCTGTGCGCCAACATTTGTTATCTTATTGATATTGCTTCGCTATTTTACGTAATCCCCCTTATTCCGTCGTTTATGACGGAGTCCATTTTTCTCTTTCCTCTTGATAAATTGCACTTGTTAATATGTGAGCTATATATTTACATAAAACGGGAAAAACATCACGACGTTCAACTCACCTTAAAAAATCTAGCTATAGCGTTCCGATTTCACAATTTTACTTGTCATGTACTTGAATGTAAGTGTGTTCTATAAAACAGAGCGTTCGGTAAATTAGTAGAAGAATATTTAAGGAGTGATTCTGGATGATAAAAATAAAATAAAAAGTCACAACTTCTGGAATTCCATCCTGAAAGTGGATTATATACATCTATGTCTGACGGAATATTAATCTTATATAATCGAAAAATAATTTCGGCGTCCGTATTAATACATATGCGTTTGATCGATCTTACGAACGTTCCACGCGCTCGCTCGAGCGTAAAATTATGATTAATAGTTTAATCTCGAATTCTCATTATTTTCATAGCTGAATTATCGTAGATATTCCGATCGATCGGCGCGAATTCTCAATAAATTATGATCTGTGAAACGGCGAGCGAAATCTTACTCTACAACAAACGTTTCTTCTTTTGTCTTTGTTTTTCTTTTTCAATTAAATTGCATGGGAAGAAACACATGTTTCGAAATTTAATATTCTTGTCGCCGTTCACTTAATAGCCGCGCTGTCATTATCTCACGGCAATATGAATTTTCATGATATATGTAAACTTACGTCAGCTTTTCCGACTAACTCCGGCGGAGTGCTTTTTCATCTCCGAAGTATACATTTGTCCGCGCACAGTTCGTGAGTAAGTGAACTGATAACGGTTGGTTCTTGCAGAACGGACCAACGTTTCGTCGCTGCCTGCTGACTTGTCTTATTACACGAAATTGACGAGGAGGTAAGAGCCGCAGATCGTATGTATGAAGACGAGCCAATGCGAGTTTTGAGCGACCGAAGACAGATCCTAAGATTGGCGATATAAATGGGACGAAAGGTATGCGAGAGAAGATTAAAGAATAGAGAAAAATGAATCTAAGAGAATATAACGAAAGTGGTATTTAAGTAGCACGAATTTTATTTATTCATAAAGTTACTTTATTAATTTACAATATGTATAGTATATTGGAAGTTAAATTAGAGTTAATTTATTAATATTCCTTTCCTCGTTGCGATTATAGATTGCGACAATTCTTGGAATGAATGGTGAATAATACTCGAGTATATGTATATAGGGTGTCTGATGAGATTTCTGCCAAACGCTTTTTATAGATAGGGCAGACTAAATTGAGTCGAAAAGTTCTCTACCATTTTGCAACTTTCGCGATATTTAACAAGATATTAATTACTAAAAATAGTTGAATATTACTTTTCAATAATTTTTTACTCAAATACTATCAACTTTGCAGAAAAACAGCGAGAGACGAAAATTATTTATTTTTTTTATAAAGTTCTGAGAATTTTTTCAAAATTTGTTTTAGTACCGTATTTTTTTATATATTGATAAGAATAGTTGCCAATATACATATATATGTATACATATAAGAAAATGCAGTACTAAAAAATTGATAAAAATTCTGAAAAAATTCTTAGAGCTTTATGAAAAGAAAATAAACAATTTTTGTCTCTTGCTATTTTTTTGTAAAGTTGATAGTATTTGAGTAAAAAATTATTGAAAACCAATATTCGGCAATTTTTAGTAATTGATATCTTGTTAATTGTTGCGAAAATTGTAAAATGATAGAAGACTTTTCGACTCAGTTTAATCCGCTCTACCCTAATGCGAGAGTTTTGTCGTTATTTATCAAACACTGTATATATACCGGGTATTTCAGACCACCCGTCCCACCCTTTTATCTTCGCAGTATAAGGTCCAATCGAAAAAGTGTTCGGACAAAAGTTGTAGAGTTTCTAAAGACCTATTTACTGGCGCTATGAGTTTGATCTTGGGTGGCATCGCCAAGGTCAGGTCAAGTTCACATCGATTTTTTAAAATGGAATCCCCTATTTTTCATTACATTTTCTTGTAACTTATCTCGAGAGCTTTTCAAAACACTATAATAAAATATTTTTTTATTAAATATTTTTCGAGTTATAAAGCTCAAAAGTTACAGTACAGCCGGTATTAGCATTACGCAAGTTATCCGACCGACAGCTAAAACCTCTTGAATATTGTTCATGATCATGTCCTGGATAACATTTGTCAAGATTAAGTCCACTGGTGATTGTACCTCTTATTTTCATTTTTACGTAAAAATGAATTTTTAGTGCAAAAATGAAAATAAGAGGTACAGCTTGCATTGACCTTGATTTTGACAAATGTTACCCACGACATGATCCTAAACAACATTCAAGAGGTTTTAGCCGTCGGTCCAACAAATTGTGAAATTTTCACTCTTAGAGAATGAAAAATCATCCCAAATGGGAGTAAATTTTCAATCTACGTGGAGAGTGAATACATTTCATTCTCCAAAGGGAGAGACTGAAATTTCATTTTGATAAATATTAAGTTTAGCCTGCTTACACCTAATCTAAAATTATTAGGCTCATTCGACGTGGTTTTGTACAAAATGAACGAATATGGCAGAAGAAAGCGTCGCTCTGTCTCGCGAAACGAGATATTAATAATTAAAGTTGACTTTTTAGGTTAGGTTAAGAAAATCACTCCTGAAGGAGTGAAGTGGAGTTCGCTCCTTGTCGGATTGGCGCAACTATCACTTTTCTTGGAGTGAAATTTTACTCCCAAAAATTTAGAGTTTCGAACAAAACGATATTCATGAATCATTTGCGAATAAATAAGAGCTTTTGCCAACTTTATACTCTTCTCTGAAAAAGAAAATGGAGACTATAAAAAATTATATCGGTTATAGCTATAATGATGTTTCAGGTATCATACACGATCTCGAGCGGCATAACAAATCATGCCTTTGTCGTAGACGATTCAATAAATCAGAATGACATCGAAGTTAATGGGTCCACTCGTGAAATTAATACGGTAATTATCCTTTATGAAAGTAATAAAAGACTGCAATATAACATACGGAAAAAGTAGTGGTTTCAATCGAATTGGCTGAAACTGTGATATTTTGTAAATTATGAGATGTATGCGTGCGTGCGTGCGTGTGTGCGCCGATCAAAATTTTTCTTAGGCAACACCATTAAAAATGGACAGAATTTGCTCTAGCGCCATTTGAAAGTTACTATTTTAGCCCGGATCTAATCGGATTGAAAAGCATTATTATCTACTAAATAATTAAATTATTCATTTTTTGGTAACTATTTAATACTTTTATGCACGAAATAATGAAATGGATAAATTAATATACAGAATAAGGGGTCGATTCTGTAACTCTTAAACGACAGTCGTTGATGTCATTGCGCAGCTTTTTTACTGTACATAATATCTGCGCAACGACATCAACGACTGTCGTTAAGAGTTACAGAATCGGTCCCTAAGAATGGAAAACTCATTCATAGTTCATTCATAAATGCAACCCCGTTTTAGGCGTAGTATTCCATGCATCATGATAGTTAAATAATAGTCGAACTTCCTTAATGGATAAAACACTTTACTTTTTTAACAAATTTTAAATTTTTTTTCCGATTTTCTTATGAAATCCAGTGCAGTTGAGGTCCTGTTTGTGCGTACTTTAATTT